CCAGCAGCCTATGTGATCGATGATTGAACCCATGTGAAAACCTAATGTTCACAGCTATACAGTGAATACAGTGAATGTCAAATGCATGCTCTACCCAGGAGGTAACCTCAACGAAACCAAATGGAGTATTTCCAGTAGTGAGAACGCAGACTAGAGCCTGCTGTGTGCTACAGGAAAGGCAGCTCTAGATAATGTTCTGATATGATTTTCCTGACACTGTCACCGAGTTCAGAAATGGCTTCTGACTGTTTAAAGAGTAAAGACTAAAACAGCTAAATGCATTAAATAGGAAACTGGATCAAGATTTATCAGTGGAAAAAATACGAGAACATGATCCTCTCTGCTCTGACTCTGTGTCATTAGCTAGTGCAACATCCTGTTGTCCGGTTTGTTCTAGTTTATCCACAGCCATTAAAACTAACAACACTGTTTCATCATCCTACCTGCATCCATAAAAACAAAAACTTGCTGCAAGAATTTACGTGTCAATGTGACACCCACTCTGTAAAATACCAGAGGAAACCCCATGGAGGAGCAGTACACCTCCATGTCATATGACAGTTTTCACACCATTTGTTTATCAGTTCGTTCTCACCATTATTGACTAATCATCCGTCTGCCAGAGTGTGGAGTGAGAGTGTGTGTGTGTGGGTGAGGTAATAAGTAGAAGCTGTAAGTAGAATGTGGTGGGAGGAAAGGTACTGGCTGTTACTGGATGTAGAGTGGGAGGCAGGCAGGCAGAAGCAGGGCTCCCCTGGTTACTGTTGCTTTGTGGGTGGCTACCAGCAGCTAGGCTCTCCTCTCTCCTCATGACACTGTAACTGGGCTGAGGGGGCGATGGACGGGACTACCGCTCTCCCTCTCCGTCTCTCCAGCTCACATCCACTCCCCCTTCCTGTGCCTGTTGTCCTTTCTTCTTCTTCTGCTTCTTTTCTCTTTTTCCCACCTACACAATCTTTCACTTTTTTCCAACACCAGTCCCCTCATCTCGCGCTCCCTCGACTCAGTTTCTTCTATGGGTTTTCCTTGGTCGCTCACCCACGCTGGCCTCCTACCCTCTGCTCTTGAATGGAGATTTCCGAACTCCACAGTAGTCTGAGGAAAGACCTTTTCTCCAGTATCTCAACCTCTACACCCACCCGCCTGTTCCCTTTTTAGCTTTCTTTCTTTTCTATTCATTCTGTCCTTCATGCAAGCTTTCTCTGTCATGGACCCCTACCCCACGCTGCCCCCCATAGTTCACCGATATACGTCTGTATAAAGTGCAACAGCGCTAACTTTTCTACGGCGATCAAAGATGCTGCTTTGTTTCTTTTTGGCCATCTCTTTGTGCGTCATTGCTTTAAGCCTGCGTTTCACTCTTTATTACTCTGTGTGTGTATGTTTATGTGTGTCTGTGTGTGTGGTCAGCTGTTCTTAGTGCTACACAGCTGATGTCAGATTGGATAGTCTCAAAGCAATAAGGTAGTAATCTCTTAAAGGCCCAGAGGCTTTTAAGTCCACACATTCTCTCATCCTGCCTTGTTCTCCCTCGGTCTTTCTCACCTTTAGAAAGAAAGACCATATTACCTCTAAATGGATCTTTTGGTGTGGTCACGGCCTCCTAACACTCACACACATGCCAATGCATACATGACTGCTTGCACTCGCACGCACCTAAGGATGCTGCTCCGCACCCACCATCTTTATGAAGCTGAGAATTATCCCACCATAGGTAATCATAACTTCCCATACCTGGGACTCATACAAATACACCTTGGCCCCTTCTCTCTAATAATGTGTATACAGTAATGTAATATAGAGGCTACATGAAAGGGCTTGATAGTCTTGAAGCCAGCGGGAATATTCAGTAACCAGGTGCTCTTTTCAGTCTCCGGACTGTGTCGCATTTCTGTGCTGGACATGAGCTGCATAGATTGAAAAGGACACAAAAAAACATCTGTGCTATATTTTCCTCATCTTTCTGTGTGTTTACACTGAGGGATCGCTTCAGGGAACAGGAGCATTAAAACCATGTCTTCATAGCAGCGTGCACAGAAATAGAAGCACGCTATGTCGTTTGATACAAGATATGTGCTCAGGGTGAGTGTGAAAGCAGGACTGGCAGACAGACAGGAGAGTGAGCTGCCCCCAGGCTAACACTTATATAACGATATGTCTAGGATATATGGCACACAGAGGATCCATACTTTTGCTGGTCAACAGTAGAGTCATTTAATACAGGCCTGTAGGAGCCCGATGTGCTGATGCGCATATGCATCCCACAACATTTTCCACTGCCTCAAAGTTTAGAAGAAACTTCTGCTGATAGCACTTCTGTGAAAGTTTATACTTTGCTATCAGAACTCCACCAGCTCGAACAGGCCTGAGTTTAGACTTTCCTTGGTTCCTCAGCTGTCTCTATAGCAACCACTGTAGGCAGTTGCTGCGGTAATCACTAGCTGTTCCTGCCCATGGCATCGTTAAGCGTTTGAAGTTTTCCCAGAGGTGCTCCGCTGAAAGGGTTAACTCCACTACTCCCCTGATAGGCGTGTTCGGCGGCACGCTTATTTGTCTCTTTGATGTTTTCCACTGATGGGGTTATCTGGCATCTGGGTCTATCTGGAGGTGTTTGGAGTGAACAAGCGGCGGGCAGCAGTCTGACATTGATGCTAAAGCCAAAAGAATAGGTCAATGTGTCTGCTGGTTTGTAAATGCGCTACACAAATGAAATGCCCACCACTCAGCACAGCGTGGTGCCCGGGGGGTGCCGGAGTGTCACAAGCCGTTAGCCAAAGTGAGGCAACGGGCGCTGACACCAGTCAGAATGGCAGATGTCCACACGACTAGGCAGGGTGGCACATGAGGGCACGGGATAGGCCGGGGCTGGCTTGTACAGGCTGTCCCCCCTGGACATGGCAGGAAGCAGACAGAGGCGTTTCTATCATGGGCAGCAAGCTGTACCCACCACAACTCGACCTATTATAAACACGGAGCCACATTAAAGACTGACAAAACTGATTATAAGCTGATAATGAAGGCTGACCTGACGGAGACGTGTGCGCACATATGTGTGTGTGTTACCTGCTACTGTATGTCTATGTACATGAAACACGCAGTTCTTCAAGTAAGTGTTTAGTAAGTTTAGTGTTAAGATAGGAATAAGAGGATTTAGGCTGTGTGGTTGTTGTAGTAAACGTTAATCAGTTAATGCAGCAAAATAAAGGTTAAGAGGCCAGAAGAAAAAAGCCACGTGAGTGGGTGTGTATATAAGTGGTGCTGTTGTGTTGTGCAGATGTACAACTTATTCATCATGTTTATACACTGTATAAACAAGATGTCAATTACTGAGAAGTCCTGCTTTAAAGCCTTGACTTTAGCATTTTAGCTGCGACCGTGCTTCCGTCCCCTCTTTTGTGGAACCAGGTCCCATTGAAATTCAGGAGATGCTCTTTACCTTAAAGCTTAGGCTTCTGTCTTTCCACACTATTTAATTAGTACTGATTTTCATCTTTTTTATTCACTGATGAAAGTGTCAATACATGTTAATGTAGATTTTGTCCTTGTGCATTAGGTTTTATTCGGTTATCATCTTGTTTTCGTATGAAAAAAAGGGATGTTCATGAAAACTATGACAAAAGTTAACAATGAATGAAATTAACACTGCTGTGAACCCTCACTTAGTTTTTGTCTTGTCTCCCTCCCTGCACTTTCCTGTTAAAAGGGAGTTTTTTCTTCCCACTATTGCCAAGTGCTTGTTCACAGGGCCGTGTCTGACTGTTGGCATTTTATCTCTATTATTGTCTCAGTCTTGTCTTGTCCTACCTTACAATGTAAAGCACTGTTGGAAACTGTTGTTGTGATTTGGTGCGATATTAATAAAACTGAATTGAATTGAACCATATTAGATATTTGGAACCAGAAATCACAAATGGCAGTAGATCTGACAAAAAAAATGAGGAAACTGATCAAAACTACATGCATAAATCACAAAATGAACATTTTGTAGCATTAAATAAGCCTCTGTCGGCTATGACAGCTGTAATCAGCTGATGTTTCTCCTGTTGTCTGTATGAAAAACTTTTTCCAGACACTATATTTGAATATATTTGAAAAACACTGACATAATAAATCAGGAAAAAATGTGTGTCAATTAAATAGTTGTGTGTTTCTAATGCAAGTCACCTCCAACACTGGCTGGTGCTCATCTGTAGTGAGTGTAGTTTGACAGGTCAGTGTTTACCTCAGCTGTCAAAATGTGGGGTGTGAAGCATGTATATATTCTTAAGGAAAATAGTCCAGTATGGAACAATTAGTCAGTGAAGCTCACTTCTATGTGACGACAGCAATTGTTGTTGAAGATATCCTGAATTTCTCTGTGAGTAGGTGTTGGTGTTTCTTGGTGTTAGCCGTTGTTAGCCAGTGTTACTGAAACTTTCATTGAAGTGGATCTAATACTTTCAGAGTCAGGCAGTTAAACTTTCATGCATGTGAGAATGTAATGAAACTGTTTATCAGACTGAAAATGCAATCTTTAGGACACTTGAGCCTAGCGTTAGCTGAAATAGTGTTAGCTTATAACCAGCTGTTGTTGTTCAAATTCAAATTCAAATTCAAATTCAAATTCAAATTTTATTTGTCACACACACACAACCATACACAGTATGACATGGGGGTGAAATGCTTGTAGCTGT